TTTGCATTTTAATATAAATAAATATTATAAAAAATTAGAATTGTATGATAAAAAATACTTTTTATTAACTTTAAAACGTTCACTTTTTTAAAATTGTGTTATATTTTAAGATTAACGTAATTAATAGATTTAAAAATCAGCGGGAATAGACAAAAAATGGCGGACCAATCAAAACTGGCTTTTCCGTGGCCAGTCTCTGATTATAGTGTCTCTAAGGGCCAATTTCACCAAGTCCGGTTAGATGAACCGACGGTTAAAATTAGCAGGGTTCTTTTCCTAGCATCTCATTGGTAATTTTCTATATGGGACAAACTCACCAGTGAGATGCTAGGGTAAGAGACAAAATAGGCCTCCCATATAGTATCTCTCTTTCTACAGCGAGCGCGCGTTTGTCTATCGCAACGCTCAATCCATTCTATATGTCTATGATTGGCAATCAGATGGAGAATTCGGAGAATCTCGATAGAGATTTTCTGTTGGCCACCCTGCTAATTTTAACCGTCGGTTCATCTAACCGAACTTGGTGAAACTGGCCCTAAGGCCTAAAGCCCGTATCAGACTACGCATTGAAAATTGAGATTGAAGATTGAAGATTGAAATTTGACCAATCAGGACAAAGAAATTTTAGTTTCTTTTGTTCTGATTAGTCAAATTCCAATCTTTAATCTTCAATTTTCAATGCGTAGTCTGATACGGGCTTTAGGGATCACCTAAAACCGGGCCATGGCGAGCTCCGTAAAGTTAGCCAAACCACTTTAACTTTTTAATAATTAAAATTATCTAATCGTTTGGTGGTCGTTTGGTGATGATTGGTAGCCTAATTAAAACATTTGGTGGTCAATCGTTTTTTTTAATTAAATAATTAAAATATTGGTGTAAAGTTAGCCGGACATTTTTAATTTTTAGTCTAATCGATTAAATCAAATTTCTTGAATTTCTAGAAATAATTTCTAGAAATTAGCTAATCAATGCGCTTAAAAAGTTTATCGTACGACGAATGTAATATTACTATAAAGCTATTGGCGTAGCGATTGGCTATCAAGTAAAGAATTTCTAGAGTCTCTGTATATGATAATAGTCTAGTATACGCTGATATACTTTAAGCCATTTCATTCTCTATAGGAGTGCCGCTTGATTCTTTTCTTCTACCTCTATATATTATTTATGGGACGTATGTGTTATGTATTTAAGCGAGGAGCACACACTTTTGCATAAGCGCATAATAATAAACCCCGTATCAGACTACGCATTCTCCATCTGATTGCCAATCCACAAACATTTTGTCTGAATGTAATATCAGCAAAACCATGTGCGCTGATCCTGCGCCTGCGCATGTCTTCGTCGTGTAATGGCTCTCGCAGACCAGCGCGTTGACGCGACGCGCGATATCCAATGAGAGCTCTGCTTTTCGGAAAAAATAAAGCATTCATTGGATATCGCGCGTCGCATTACCGCGCTGATCTGCAAGAGCCATAATGCTGATATTACATTCAGACAAAATGTTTGTTGATTGACAACATATCAGGTATATAAATATGAAACCGGAATTTTTGTATAGAAAATACACGTTTATTGTATGAAAATGATAAAAAATATTTTATTCGAAGTATTGCCCATTGCTAGCTATACATTTTTCCCATCTCTCTGACAATTTGTGGATGCCACGCCAAAAAAACTGTTGCTCCTTTGAGGCAAAACAGTCATCGAGCCATTTTCGTACATTTTCGTAAGAAGTGAAGTGCTGCTCAGCAAGTGCGTGTCCCATCGATGCAAATAAGTAGTAATCGGATAGAGCCAAGTCTGGTGAGTAAGCCGCATGCGAAAGTATTTCCCAACTAAACGCCTCAATCATTTCCTTGACCGGTTTTGCTGTGTGTGATAGTGCATTATCATGAAGCAAAATCACTTTGTGTTGCCTTTTTGATATTCTGGTCGTTTTTAACGCAAAGCTTGATTCAAATCGATCATTTGTTGTCGGTAGCGTTCAGTATTAACGGTTTCGCCAGGTTTTAGCAGCTCATAATAGATCACACCCTTCTTCCACATTCTTCGTTTCTCACGTCAAAATCGCCACTTTTAAATTTTTTTAAACCACTCAAAGCACTGTGATTTACCAAGAGCATGCTCACCGTAAACTTCGACAAGCATTCGATGCGATTCTGCAGCAGTTTTCTTCAAATGGTAACAGAAAATCAATGCTGTCCGCAAATCGTAGTTTCCAGGCACAAAATTCGACATGTTCAACGCTATTAAAAACTATGCTGTTGTACGAAACTTGTATTGTTGTGAGTTGAAAATCATTATTAGATGTCAAAACAAGAAAATGGCGCCAATGACGCGGTTTGACGGTAACTACATTGACAGCTAGGGCCATCTATGGGCAAATTCCGGTTTCATATTTATATACCAGGTATATATGAATATACATATACGCAGACGTATATTTATATATTATATATGTACATAAATATATCCGCGTATATATTTAGATATAAATATATGAATACCTATATACAAACATATACAAACGTATATACATGTCCACACATTTATATAGATATACGTATACATATACAGAGTGTCCTAGACCACCCGTACACCCCTTTTCTTTCAAAAACTAAGCATTTTAGACAAAAACGTTTTGAACAAAAATTGTATGGTTTTGAGGGGAACATAAGATGGTGTCATTGGTTTGACTTTGGATCGCATCGTTAAGGTCAAGTCAAGGACACCTTTAATTTCTTAAATGGAATCCCCTATTTTTTATTACATATTCTTATAGCTTATGTCGAGAGCTTTCCAAAACACTATAATAAAGTATTTTTTTATTAAGTACTTTTTGAGTTATTTTATATTTTAA